CACCTCTAGCACAAGCACATCAACTACAAGCTCAACAACGTCCTCAAGCAGCACATCTTCAACTACAACTACTTCATCTTCTTCAAGCACAAGCAGCAGCTCAACGACCAGCAGTTCAAGCACGAGTTCATCATCAACATCCACATCATCAAGTAGCACGACTAGCAGCTCAACATCAACAAGCACAACGAGCAGTAGTTCCACAACCAGCTCTTCCACAACTTCTTCCAGCACAAGCTCAATGACGAGTACGTCCAGCACAACAACGACAACAACGACAGTGACTTCTACGAGCACCACTAGCACGAGCTCATCAACATCCTCAAAAACGACTACGTCCAGCACAGCTTCCACATCCACTACTAGCACCACCTCTTCGACAACAAGCACTTCAACTTCTTCGACTGCAAGCAGCAGTTCGACGACCTTCACTCTAAGCACAACAACTTCCAGCAGTAGCACTAGTTCAACAACAAGCTCCAGTTCAACAAGTACTTCAACAACAACTGCAAGCATCACGCGACTTGGTGAATCCATCGTAGAGTTGTGGCAGATGGCTGTCATGTCAGAATAACACCCTCAACGTCAGTGAAATATCATGAACTCATGAAGTATTCCCTGGAAGATGTTCTGTTCAGTGGAATATCCCAGTACCCGATTCCGTGGTTCTTTGCGACGGACAGATTGAATGAAATATGGCGAAATCAATCATCACATGCAATCTCTTGTACAATTATGCAACTTCAATAGTCCTCCAGTTGCAATGGGCACTGCCAGGTCGACAACCGGCACAACTTCAACTACTGAGACCACTTCAAGCAGTCGCTCAGTCCATTGATTGGTTCGGGGAGCGTTTTGGACTTCACTTCTTAATGTTGCACTTGGCTTAGTTCTGTTTACAGTTTATATAGAGTTGAAGGCGAGTGTGTCATGTTCGATTGCCCACTCCGTGCAGATCTGTATGCAGTTGTCGGCTTGGCTCCTATTAATCATGAGTCACATGAACGCACACATCTTCCTTTTTGAAGTCTTTTGAGCCCTTTGGCATTCTTTTGACAGGACTTGCCTTCATATATTCTTCCGGGATTCCGGCTTTCTGTTAGGGCTGGATTTCACACCCAATGTTTTTGCAATGGAATTGAACTCAAGAAGGTACGATGACAACGACGAGCTTATCGACAAGCAGCACAGGAGTGGTCGGAAGAATCCAAAGAAGAACAATGTTCGCTACTAGTAACAAGTGCATCGCTTCTAGTAACAGGTGCCTTACTAGTAGTAACAAGGACGCTACTAGGGGCTCCTAATGTGAAGAAAGAAGACCCTTCATGGTGAAGCAGTGCGACCCGAATTTTGACCTGCATGCTGCATGATTAAGACACGTTTCATATACTGTACTGCAAAGAGGCATTGCTCGCCCCTCTTGGTGAAGACTTGATTCCTTCCAATTATTTTGCTGTTTTCAGGCACAGCATCCTCAACTACAAATACTGCAACAACGAGTGCCCTTATGGCAAAATCTCATCCCAAGCTGTTCATGACAGCCTGACAACATGACTTGAAGGTACTGGAACCTCGGTCTCTGCTACCACGCGGCTTGCCTTGCAGTCCATTGCCACGTCATCGTGTTGGCCCAGCAATTGTTGAGCTTATTCGGTAGTTGTTTGTGGAACCCAGTTTCACTATCTTTCCCAGCACACATGAAAGTAATGATGTGTACACTGTATAGATCTGTACACGAGCGTGTGACAATGTTCATGATTCATTTTTCTGACACGTGCCTGATCCGTTTCCGCCTTTTCATATTTCTGATATTTTCTGATCGTTCGATGAAGGATTTGTACAGCTTCCCTGCACTAGCTCGTTGTGGCTTGAGGACGTCGCAGACTGCAACTACCACAACCACAACCATGCAGACGTGGTGCCGGAAGTTCTATGGCGGGGCAGCTTGATGAAGGAAAGTAGCTCATAGATTCTGGAACTGCAAGGCTTGAACAATAGTCGAGATACTTAGATTATCTTAGATTCATGACCCGAATGTTTTGAGATGCTTTGAGTCAGATTCGCTGCTTGTTGGACATTTCCTTTTGCGCCAGATTGAACAAATCAGCGGGTAAGACTCTTGCGGTGCCTTAAAGTCACAGGTGTCAAGGTCGCACCATCACATTTTCCATGGTAAACATGTATACCTGGGCCCAGACACCCCCTGGCCTCATGCGTAGACGTAGCAGTTGCTGACATTGGAAGACCCCAATTTTTTTAATTGAAAGGAACAACTTGCAACCGTTCTGGCCGTTCTGGAGTTGTTTAGAATGATGCCTGAACCTCAACACTGCCACTCGCAGCACTTTGCGACATCCCAGGTAGCTATTGAGTCTGGGACTTGTCAAGCCGGAGCTTTGGAACATGATCATTGTTGCTTGGGACATATATTAGCAACATTTGAGGAACGGGGTTTTATTGGCAGGTAAAGGTGGCACTGCATCATAGCCCGCGAAGGCAATTCGCGCAGTTTTGTGCATGCGCAAAGGCCTGCGAAGTCAATCCGCGTAGGCCCCACAATTATTTTTCGCGAAGGCAACATGCGCATGTATATAACAATCCTTTGTTGTATAATGCAAAGACCGGATTAATAACCCCCCCCCACATAGAAGGTCTAGAAGGTCTGAGGTACCATTCATGAGGTCCAGCTATGAGACCATTGGACCATGAAGGTTTAAGAGGGGATGAGCTGATGAGCATGAGGCCAGAGTCCATATAGGAAGCAATGAGTTCATAGTCATAGGAACCAAGGGATGAGAGGAATTGGCTGGTAACATTTGGCAGGTCCATTGATGCTAAGTATCAGATGGGCAAGCCATGAGCAAAGACTCAGACCTCTTTGATGAGCTGAAAAAGAGATGAGCAGCATGAGGTGAGAGTGGTTGAATGAGCAGCATGAGGTGAGAGTTGCTGAATGAGCAGCATGCGTTGAGAGTTGATGAGTTGATTAATAAACCTCCCCTAGAAATGGTTCTATTTCTTTGGGGGGGGCTGTGTGGGCTCGGATTGGGGTTTCTGGTGCCACTGAGGTTCGCGAACGCATAATACAAAGGCACCACATCATACCAGCTTAGATACAAAGGCACCCTTTGCACTAAATATATCTCACGAAGTCTTGTGAAGGCAGATGCGAAGGTATGCTTTCAGTGTATAGGCCCTGTAGTTACCAAAAGAAACGCAGCTCACTTAACAAACGATGTTTAGACAGTTTTGGTCGAACTTCTCAGACGAGCACCTGAAATTAGATGTAGACAATTCTTTCTACTCAAGAACTCGCTTGATCCACCCAGACCGGCATGGTTGAACTGCTCTTGATTTGGCCAGCTACCTGCGAAAAGTCTATGGAGCTTTGGACCACTAAAAGGGTCAAGAAATAGATCCAGTATACTTCTGTACGATTTGTAAAACAAGCCTGCGTACGACCACCCTTTCGACATAGCAGACAGTAACTCAACAAGCTTCCAACTTTTGTTCTCCGCCTTGAAGTGGAGCATTCTTGATTGCATGCAGCAAGCAACTTTGCTCAACTATTGAAACTGTTGAATTCACAAGGCAACAACTCGGTCCTTCACCACAGTTGATTGCCTCCGGCCAAGGCTTGACCCCAAGGGAGGGCAATGAGCTCAGCTGTGGCACCATCGCACACTGTCCGAGTGCTTCCAACTCTTCCGGTGGCCAATGCGACCGCTGCGCCACTGTGCTTGCAGAGGCAGACCTGCAAAATCATGGAATTTGGATCACATTCATGCGAAATGATGCAGTAGTACCATGTAGTTCTCAGAGTAACTTGCCACACTGTGCACTGGCTGCCTGGGTACGAAATGACGTTGGTTTTCTAGGAGCGTGTTCACGAGAGACCTGAAAAAGTACCACCCTCAAAATTATTGTATTGGAGACATCAGCATGAAGAGGGCACGCCCTTTTTCCACCCTCGGATCTATGTGTGCCTTTCCTGAACAACTTTCATCAAGGCGTTCACGATTTTGATGATACCGTGGTATATGTATATATATATATATGGATCAGAATGATCAGAATCTAAAGCTGATGAACATGCCGTGCAATCGATGACAATGTTAAGCAGCCGTGATGTTGATGACAATGTTGTGAAGCCGATGAGAATGTAGCGCAGTCGATGATAACTTTCACACGCTGATGACAGCTTCAACACCCCACCCACCCCAGCCCACCCCATGTTTTTTGTTTTCGGAGACCCCCCCGTCGGTGCTGTTTCCACTTGTGTGCTCTTATGCCTTATGCAATGCATTTCTCACAGGCCTATGCCAATGCAATTTGGCTCAAGGTGTCGGGTGCGCAAAAAGGCAACTCCGTTTGCCCCCTTCCCCAAACAAACGGGTGTACTTCAGTTCACCTCAGTTCGTGCTGAGCAGCTACAGACCAAGCACGGTGAGCGTCAGTGAGTCAACCCAAGAAGAAAGTTATGAAGCTGACTACTATGGCCCGAGCGGCCAGACCTTCGTCTAGGTCGGATGTGTACGCTGCAAGTGCCCCAGGGACTTCGCAACTCAGGATGACGCCAGAGACAGCTCCAACCTTCGATGTTTTATCTACTTAGAATTACCTGATTCGAGTATGAAGCCTGCGTAGATGATTGGCTTTGACTGTGTTGACTGGTGATCAACGTGGACCTGCGTCTATAGTAGTCTAGACCACGGCTTAATGAAGAGGTTGTTGAGCAGGTTGGTCAATGAACAGGACGCAGAGGATGGCAACCTGAATTTGTCTTTTATGTCGACTTACCACACCGAGCATTTGATAGCCTTGATATTCACCGGACAGACGGACTTCAATGAACAGCGACGAGAGTCAGCTCGATGTCCTCCTCCTGCGTATACGTATGGAAGCAGATCATATGAGGCAGTGAAAGCGCAATTCCTGCCTTTGTTTTGTGTTAGTTGTACCAGCCATCGGTCGTCGTCGCCGTGCGTATCCATTGCAGAGCATGGTTGCATGGACAATTAAGGCTTCTGGTTGACAGGCAACATCTCCGAGGAACAAGGTTTATATGCCCTTTAGAGTTTCTCGTGCTCCAGGCAGCTGGTCGTGCTCATAGAAAGAGGCAAAGAAGAGGCAGAAATGCTCACGAAATGTGAAGGTCAAGACCATGGCTCAGACCCCACGCCCACAGGGGCAAAGGCCATGCGAGCAACAGAAGAGAATGGAGAAGACCCAGCAAGGTCACGGCAAGAAATGAACCAAGTCCAGCGCAAAACGTGACAAAGGTAAGGGTCAACAGTTGTCAGGAAAGTGGCTCACGGACAGACCAATAAAGGAAAGGCCTACGTGACAGAAGCAACTGCAACAACGAAAGCGCCCCCTGGCAGGGTGAATTAAGGAGGTGTCGCGGGTTCTGGGTTGAGGCCGCTACATCGTTGGTTGGCAGTTTGGATGACAAGAAGACAGTTGCGTCGTGTTGTTCATAAGTCATATAGTTGTCGGGCAAGATGGGCCGACCAGATCCACAAGAACTTTCCAATTGTCAGTGTCCACGTCCGATCATACCGATTTGAAAGTATTGGACCTTGCTCGCGCTAGTAAAGGTCCGAGCCATTTCGTGTCCACCTTGTAATGGCGCACGTCGAGCTCTTACATATGACGAGCAAGGAAAAGATAAAGCCATGCGACCGGACAAGACGCCTCCTGCGGCAACTACTCCCCCAACGACCAAACATAAAACTATCAACGTGAAACCGTGCGTCGAAGGAGTGTCCAAGGTTCGTTTTGGCAAGTCCCAGCCCTAGTTCCAACGTGTCTACAGCTGGATGATGGTTGGAACCAGGCGCCGTTTTAGCGCCCGATCCAAACGATGATGTTCGCACGGATGACCAGGAAGGACCCTCCTAAGGGCGATGATGGTGATGAAGATGATACTGATGACGACGACGACGACGACGAGGATGATGATGAACCACTGCCACGGCGCCTATCCCAACGCCGCTTCACCTTTTTCTTCCACGCGTTACAGACTGTCCCCTGATCAGCCTGTCTCCCCTGCCACCGGGCTCCTCGGAAGCGATCTCCGCCCCCCAGCAATTTTTCGCCATATCCTTCCTGGTCCAATCGCAAGGCCTTCTCTTCACAGCCTCCTCGCAACCATCTCAGGGTGTCGTTTCTTCGCGCGATTTGCAGGTTTCATTGGCTTCGTCTTCATCTTTACAACTGACTCCCGGCTTGATGTCCAAACGAAGAAGGCGAGGATGACGTGGAAGCCAGTCACTGGGAGCCGGAAAAGGCCGCGAAAGTCGAGGAAGAAGAAGAGGAGGAGGCAGAAGAGGAGGAGGTGGAAGGAGAAGAAGAAGGAGAAGAAGAAGAAGGGGAAGAGAAGCAGAAGAAGAAGAAGAGGAAGAAGAAGGAAGAAGAAGAAGCAGAAGAAGAAGAAGAAGAAACAGCTGAGATGCCAGGGAGACAATGACAAAGAAAATTCCCACGCGATTGACTACGATGATCTATAGCTGAAGAAGGATGGGATTCTTGTCGGCAGAGCGCAAGCGATGTTCTTTATATAGATACATTGAATGTTGCGGCGCGCGCGGTCAGCGTAGGTCAGACATTGAAGGATCGAGCCCATTCTGGGCTAAGTAAGGAAGACAGCGCCCATCTCACGTCTCACACTGATTGAACCCACTGTTGATAAGTTTGCCTTCTCGGTTTGGAAGAAACGCAAGGAAGCAACCGAGTGCAGGAGAAACGTGTGCTTGCTAAAGAGTTTCTGGAAGCGAAGATGGCGGGGACACCGTTAGCCTTGGATTGACCACGATGTTTATGGCATTGTTGGAGCGTGAAAGTTTTAGCTGTTTGTTACATTGTATGTGGACTCTTGGTATTAAACCTGCCGCGGCGACGCAAGACAGTGTTGTACTGCCAGATGGGTCCTTTGAGACTTCGAGTGCAAGCAGAAGCCACAGCGGCAGACTGACCGACCAGCAGCGTCTAGGAGTCTACATCAAGTTTTGGCTGTGTGACGCAGGTCACCGGTAGATTGGTCGTTGTTCGACGCGGAAGCGGTACGATCAATTTCTGACGCTATTTGTCGTACCTCAGGCGCATCAGAGCTAGGCTACTCACCATACACATATATATATATATAGGTATATATGGCAGGTTGTCTACAGCCATTTTTGTCGGCGCTTACCACCTATAGCCCAGTGCCTACTTGTGCTAGTGGATAAAGTTCAACTCTTGAGTCTCCGAGCTCTACGGTCTCCAGTTATACATAAGGCGCAGGATTCGACGTATCGTCAAATAGCGCTTGCTCGACGCCCGGCTTTGAGAAGTCGGCCGTCCAGCTTCCAATCTCCCCCCTACCCGCAGGTAGATTGGGCCACAACTCTGGGAAGACTCAGGAAGAGCTACGCAAGAAGCGCGAGCAAAAGTGTTTTTAAAGTACCGATCTAGGTACAAGTTGAGGCTTGATCTTCAAGAGCCGGTGCCGTGTCATGTTCCTTCAAGAGGCCGACGGGCTATTGCTCCAGTCAGAATGAGGAATACTGGTTATTATTTGCGTTTGCAGTTCTCAGCCACAAACAAGTCCACCACTGTCAGCCAGGGATGCAAAACGGTTGGTATACTCCGTCCACGTCTGAATTCCACACGGCAATGTTTCGGACGATCGTCAGCACGGCTCAACACACCATGCTGCCCCTAGACACATCTCCAGCAAGATGGCGTGCAAGAAGGACGGCGGCGTGGACGTAATCTGAAACGTTTCTTTACTCTACTTAGTCTATAGTGGATGAAATCAGCGATCCTGTGCTGATCGGCAATCCTGCTGCTCAAAGGACTTTTGCGAAATGGTGGGCCTGTGGGGCTCGGACTTTCACTCTTGGCTTTGGTTGCGCGAACGGGGACAGACAGCATCGCACGCGTACCGGAGGAACAATATCAGGCCGAAATCATGTACCGCTGAAGAAGATCAAAGGCGCAAATATTTCACCAACAAGACACCCTTATTTCAACGAGTGACAAGGGCTGGCGTGAACCCTTCATTGTGGCACGCCGCAACTCTATACATGGAGAGGAACCAAGGTGTGCAGCACCTCGGCGCTCCACTTGACCAAACTATATGGAGGAAGGCGATCCCTGCTCAACATCTACTCACCCTGTAGTGAGAGCCGAGCAGGATGGGTTCGCTGCGAAGAAAGTCGGGAAAGGTGACCCAAGGACTGCCGCGCGCAGAGAACCGCGCCAACAGATTTGGCCGTTTTGTCCAGGCGTAGGCTGCAGATGCGTGCGCCGTATACATCGCGCGTACAGTTTTTTGATTGCGTGCTTCAGAGCTAAGAAGATTTGTGTTTGTTTTGCGCCTTGCGTTTTTCACAAGACTGTGCCAGTTACATTTGGCTTAAGGTAGCGTGTGAAAAACCAGAGCTTCGTTTAGACTCTGTTCACTCTTATGGCCTTGCCCAGCTCTAAGCTAGATCCAGGGGACTGTGTCTTAATCGCACGGCTGCTAAACTGCCGCCTTCTTCTTTTCAGCGTACAAAAAGGGCTTCAGATGTATATGCAATGTTCTCACAAGCTGTACTGCAAATCATATGCTCATGCTTCGATTTCGGCTCTCCCCTCGCCAGTCCTCTCGTGACGTGAAATCGGGTCGAGCAGCACGTAGCAGACGTAGCGTCCAAAAGAACGACTCAAGCCCTCATCAAGTAAGTGGTTCGGATGACGACCGCAAAACAGAGAGGTGTT